GGGCAAACAGAAGAAAGTCCGACGTATATAAATAAATACATCTCTATTTTCTCTACAAATCCGTATATGTATACTACTGAAATTTAAAGAAATAAAAAAATTTAAAATGTTAAGTTATTGGGGTAATTTATGTTGCTATCAAAATTTTTTTGCAATAATCTTATCATCCGTTATGTTAAATTACGGAGTTGTTACGATTCTTTGCGGGTCATATGTAAATTGAAAACAAGGTTTGGTCAACTTCCACCAGAACGGGCCTTTCTGGCCACTTATAGGTAGCTAAAATATCCACTAAAATATTAAGCGCCAAATTTTTGTAAGGAGAACTGAATGTAATGAAAAATAATAGTAATTTTTACGAAAAATGGGGACTTTAACCCTGTGTAGAAGACATTGCGATGCGCGGGAGCAAACGCCTCCTGGGATTTGACCACCACTTGGGAACAGGGCTTCCAACTATACTTAGCTATGAAGTGCCATATTGAGGATAAAAAAGTGCCAAAATGTGCCAAATAGAAAAATATAACGTGTTACCTATGTTTTTTCTGAGTTACGCTTTTTTGGAAATGTTCAGTGGCCCAAATTATGCGAAATAACTCCTTTAAAAATTTAATCCTCTTTCGTAAAATAGTGTCTTTATACGAGTAGTATTTACTTCCTTCAAACGATGTATTTTAATGTGCATACATCATGAAAATTTTGTACAAAATTCCTTAGGCGCCGAACGCCGCCGCCGCCGCCGCCGCGCCGATATTTACGTAACTCGGCGGCGGCGCGTGAGAAATGACAAAAAACGGCGGCGGCGGCGGCGTGGCTCGGCGGCGTATACCTCTAATATATATATATATATAATTTTATATAATTATAAAATTATCAGCATTGAAGAGACAAAAGAAAATAGCCTAAACTTGTTAAAATCTCGTGCTCCTATTTATTTCTGCACCACGGTATCACTTGCCACAAAATTAAATGAAATACAGTTTCACACTCATGTTTATTAATATTTTGTAAATATTTTTTTAGAAGTGTAGCTCATTTTATAACATAAATAATATAAAGGAAAATATCTATAAAACGGTATTTTTTATGAAACAGTTCAATAAAAAGTGATATGTTATTCGTTTTTTATATGACAGAAAACATATTAAAAAACTATTTTACGATTTTAGTTAGAATCCGAAGTGTATGAGTTTCTCTACGCAAAGCACTCACATTTGCGTATGCTTTATATAAATAAATATAAAGTACACACATGTGCCTGTGCTTGGACACACACAAATTAATAAAATAAGTTGCTTAATTTTTAAGAGATTTGGTAAATTTTTTTAACAATTTTGGTAAGCTTTATTTTTTGGCCGCGGCAACACAGGTTGCGTTCCAGATAACTTCGTGTGAAAACCTGTAAAACTGTCAAATAACAAAATTATTCTCTTGAAATAGAGGAGCGAGAGCGAAACAATAAAAGTCACCTGGAACGCGAAAAACCACTTTTCCTGTAACTACTTCCATTTTTTTTAATGTAAAATGCCATGGAGACGATCAAATATCTTTACCAACCGTCTCGCGTTATGCTTGACAAAAAGCAAGCGCACTTGCCTTCTGATCGTCGTGGTGAGCAAGTGCGCGGACAAGAAAAAGAAATTGTTTGTTGAATTGACGAGTTTATTTGAACGTTTGCGGGCAAGACACGAGCCGCAATCACACATATGCAATGCTTGGTATATTTATTTGATTGTGTCCCTTGGCCCTTGGTTCTGTTTTTGTTTACAAATGCAACCCGGCCTATAGTTTGACACTTTCATGAACTTGCAGGAAGAAAAACTTCAGACTAAAACCTACAACTTCTGACTGAGAGAGAGAGCAAGTTACTCTTACAAAAGTGGTTTAACTTACAGGCTAACCTAATATTCACGCACGCCGCCAATTTATTGTCAAAAATTTCTCATGCACATGCAACTTGTATGAGATCAACCGAAATTGAACGGCGTGCGTATGAAGCTAACTCAATTTCCAATTTTTGTTCTGCGTGACATTTTGATTTGACGTTTCGCTCAATGAAATCAAATGCAAAGGCATGCAAGTCAATTTCGGGTGACGCAAAAAAACAAATTCGACGGCATGCGTACCAAAACGCAAGCCGCGAATATTAGGTTAGCCTGTAACAGGGTTTTTGGCACCTGGCACGCTTTCCTGCAAATCGTGAATATCGTGAATATCGCGAGCACCTGGAACGTAACTATTATAAACTGTGGTTGCTTTTTCCAATTTTTTCATGTGAGCCAACTAAATACAATCAAGGGCACATTGCATCCACAATATTTTTTCATTAAAATCGGCCTCAAGCTCAATAAAATTGTTGATTATGCATAAATATACATATGTACATGTGAATGTAGTATACATAGTATATCGAGGGCTTATATTCAATACCCTTTAACTGTATGTTTCACAAAAAGTGCAATGTGATGTTAGAACCCATCTGGTACTTACCTGTCGTCACTGATGTTAATTCTGACTTTGCAATTGGATAGTAATCTTCTGTTAGGCGTTATACAAGGTCAGCATTAATATCACCGATGGTAGTTAAATCTTAGGTGGATTTTTATATCACAATCGAAAGGTGTTTATGTATTTTATTTGTCGAAAAACACTCTTTCGTAGAAATGGTATAGAGTTCTTGAAAATCAATATTTTTCTATCGGAAACCTCTCGTTCTCTGCAGGAGACTTCCAGTAATAATATCCAATGGTTTATTTAACCATTTTTTAATACTAAAGATTATTTATTGGTCCCCCGATTGTATTTTCTGGGGTTTTTGGCGAACCTATAAATAATATTTACCCAGGTATACATGGCGTCTATGTAACATTCTATGCTGCTCATATTTCATACAAAAAATCCTTGCGCATTTTTATTTCACCACTGATTCCTTTCTTATTTGTTCATCGATTTTCTTCCTTGAAAGCTTAATTTTTTAATGAAACTATCAGTCTAATGAAAGTGATGTGCATAAGGGTTATGAAGAATTTTGTTAGCTTTCATTTGCCGTACTTCATATTAAAATTGTTAGATTTGTTCGTAAGATATACGTGATTAACTCGAATCACTTTTTTCAGCTGAACAATGGCAAATTGCAAGTATGTATCTCGAAAACTTATTAATAAAAGAAATATATTGATTTTCGGACTCAACGAGCGATTCTGCGTAGGAAATGGATAGTGTCATACGGTGAACAAAAAATAAAAATAAAAAAATTTGTGATCCAGGGCTATTATTTTGCTTAACTAAAGTGCATATTATACATAAATATATAGTATGTATATTATACACAGTATATCGACCCCTTTGTGCAAAATTATCGTATGTTACAAAAACCAAATTTTACAAGAAAGTATTTTTTGTATTTTTCTCTGCTTTGGCTAGCACCAGCAATACCAAAGTTTAGATTTGCTGAGATAATTGAGAAATATAACTAAACGCAAGATTTTTTTTGTAGAAAGGTCTCTACATTATAATTTCTTAGCCCATATGATAATTTCGCCTACAAGAAAAAAAAATCATAGTCATATATGTACGATAAAATTTACAGTAAATTTTTGGGTGATACGTTATGGGTTGTAAAACAAAGTTGCATCAAAAAGTGAATTTCGTAAAAAATGTAACATACGATAATTTTGCGCAAAGGGGTCGATATGTACATATCGTCATCTGAAAAGCAAAAAGCCGTAACAACATCGTAAATGAAATGGAAAAAGTCGAGCCTAATATTTTAATTTTTTTCATAAAATGGTGCGGGGAGTTGTAATTCGATGAAATCGATCATATAAATCAAAAAGTGAATTTTGAATTTTTTATTAGATATGACTTTTCGCATTTTATCGATAATCATTTGTTACGTCTTTTTGCATTTCAGGTAACGATATATGTATGTAAACGTACACAGATATGTATATTTACATAATTATTATTTTTTTGTTTTACCAAAGATGTGCCACTTCCACCTGCCCACAAACTTACAATGGACGAAGTGTTCGATGCAAAGACGGGGAAGCCGAACTATGAAACAATGCGGGCACACTTCTTGCTCGAAGGGCGCATGGAGGAGGGTCCAGCGCTGCGCATCATAAATGAAGGAGCTACCTTATTGCGAGCGGAAAAAAATATGATTGATGTGGAGGCACCGGTGACAGTGTGCGGCGACATTCACGGTCAGTTTTTTGATCTAGTCAAATTATTCGAAGTTGGCGGGCCACCAGCTTCCACGCGGTATCTTTTTTTGGGTGACTATGTGGACAGAGGATATTTCAGCATTGAGGTATGTATGTACGCAAGTGCACATGTGCATACAAACACATACAGTTTTATACCATGCAAGTACATTGAGGTTGTTTATGTTAAAAAATACTGTTTTTAAACATTTTAACGATCATCTGAATACGCCGTCTCTCAATTTGACCTCCATATCTTCAGTGTGTGCTTTACTTGTGGGCGTTAAAGATTTGCTACCCGACGACACTGTCTTTGTTGCGCGGCAATCATGAATGCCGCCATCTAACAGAATATTTCACATTTAAACAGGAATGTATGAGCATTATTTATGCCCTTAATGTATTTTGTTGTTATTCACTAATCTTTTTTGTTATTGTTTGAAGGCAAAATAAAATATTCTGAAGATGTTTATGATGCCTGTATGGAAGCATTTGACTGTTTGCCATTGGCGGCGCTGCTAAACCAACAGTTCCTCTGCATTCACGGTGGACTATCCCCTGAGATTTTCACTTTAGATGATATAAAAAAGGTAATTCGACCAAGCGTTTTATTATATTTTTAAAATTTTTTCCGAATTATTTCAGCTTTCATATTCGTAAAATTGTGTTGGTATTTATTTATTGGCAAATAATTATGAAAATCCACATAAGCGGTATATGGCGTAAATTATACTTATACACGCATATGTACATACAAATGTATGTATGATTTGTCTGGCCAATTTTCATCTTGAGGCGAAAAATATATGTATATGTATACTATACCATGATATTCTTTATTTTTTGAACTTCCACGATTTAAAGATTCGGATATGAAAGACTTCAAAAGAGGCACAACTCAAAAATAAGATCCGGAAATACATCGTCACCTAAGGGTGAAAAGGTGTCAAGTCCATTTTTTGCAATTGTTCAGTAAAGACGAAAAATCGATGAAGTTTCGTATAACCTGCCATCTGCATCAAAACCTAAATTTGTTCACCTTTAGGTGGCGATATGTAACTGCTTGTGGATCGTAAAGAATCAACGCAATTGATTCAGAAGCAGGTACGATTGGAGTTTTCGAGTTAGAAAATATAATATTTTCATTAATTTGAGAAAAATCCTACGAATTTATTTATGCAAAAAAAAATCGACCGAAATTTGTTTTGAGTTGTGTGTCTATTGAAGACGGTGCCCGATATGTTAAAGCTACTTTTCTGATAGATTTTAATATATGGTACACACGATTACATACGAAAAAGCAGCATACATATGGCTCATTCCATGGTGACGACTGTGACATTTCAACTCACCTTTTAAAGCTTAATTCTTAAACTGTAATATAAAATTGTTTAAAACGAGCATTTTCTAATAGGTTTCCGAGGTATACATAATGTCTAGAAAAAAAAATTTCAAAAACAATTTAATCCAAATGAGTCATATGAATTTTAGTCACTGTGACGGGTGTGACAAACCTAATTACGCAAACCTAATTATGTACGGAGTGAAATGGTTTATAGTCGTTGCGCTGGGTATGCAGTTACAGTTGCATGGCTATACTCAATCCCGACTCTTGCGTCCTCGTTTGCGCACTCTGCGCAACGTGAGCAACCCATGTGCGAGATGCGGTAACCAATCCGAGTGGAGCCTTGGGTCCCGGCAGAAAGAGAGGGAGCTTCGGTGGGGCCACTCCGACTTATTCGGTTTAAGGGCTCACTGAAGTCTGCAGCGTCTGTTCACCAGTAGGTGCGGCTGCAAGTGGGTGTCTGCTTGGAGCAAGCGGCTCGCTATGTAAACGTGTATTTGGTTGCGAAACCAACTCCGTCCCAGCAATGGGTTTTGCGATGGGTTTGGGACCCGCCACGTAAAAACCACTTCCAGTGAAGAAGCAAGGTAAAGCCTCGGATGAGACCCCCCTTATGATGACGACCACGGCAAACGTTTAAAGGACTACGATTTGAGGGCATGAACCTGGAATGTCCGGACCCTTAATGGGGAAGGTGCCTCTGCCCGGCTGGTTGATGTCCTCGTAAGGACAAAAGCTGACATCACCGCCATCCAAGAAATGCGTTGGACGGGGCAAGGCAAGTAATGTCTGGGGCCTTGCGACGTCTAATATAGCTGCCATGTGAAGGAACGCAAATTCGGAGTTGGATCTGTGGTGGGAGAGAGACTCCGTCGCCGTGTACTGTCGTTCACCCCGGTGGACAAACGTCTAGCCACAATCCGCATCAAAGCGACTTCTTCAACATCTCGCTTATCGGCGCCCATGCCCCGATGGAAGAGAAGGATGAGGTATCCAAGGATCTCTTCTATGAGCGCTTGGAGCGCACGTATGAGCGCTGCCCCCGTCATTATATCAAAATCGTGCTTGGTGACTTCAATTCCAGGGTGGGCAAGAAAGGGATCTTTGGAACCACCGTCGGAAAATTCAGCCTCCACGACGAAACGTCCGACAACGGATTGAGGCTGATCGACTTCGCCAGTGCCCGAGACATGGTAGTATGCAGTACTAGGTTCAAGCATAAAAAGATCCATCAAGCTACGTGGCTGTCTCCGGATCGAAAAACGAGAAACCAAATCGATCAAGTTGTGATAGACGGAAGGCACGCTTCCAGTGTTTAAGACGTACGCACACTCCGAGGCCCAAACATCGACTCGGACCACTATATTGTTGCAGCCAAGATACGCACCCGCCGCAAAAAGTGTGCGCCCAAATATGCAAGGAAAGCTTAACGTCGAAAAGCTGCAATCACAACAAACAGCCAGCGCTTTCGCTACTCGACTCTTACACCTGCTCTCAGAGAGCACTCTTCAACAAACCGACATATGCCAGCAGTGGAACCACATTTCCCGCTCATTGAGTACCGCCGCCGAAGAAGTAGTCGGATTTCAGCGAGCCCGAAAGAACAACTGGTACGATGAGGAGTGTCAGGAAGCTGCAGAGAAAAAATATGCCGCCTACAGGGCCACTCTGAGATCGGGCGCAACGCGCGCTATTTGGGACCGCTATAGGGATCTGAAGTGGGAAGCGAGACGTATTTGCCGCAATAAGAAGAGAGAGGCCGAAATAGGTGAGTGAGAAGAACTTGAAATGCTAGCAGACAGGAAGAATGCCCGAAAATTTTACCAGAGAGTTAGGCGACTTACGGAAGGTTTAAAGACCGGGGCGTACTCCTGTAAGAATAACAATGGCGACCTAGTAACTGATGTCCAGAGCGTACTTAAATTATGGAGGGAACACTTTTCCGTCCTACTAAATGGTAGCATGATGACGGAGTCGACGTTCCACCGCCTGACTATGACGAGGTACGTAAAGCAATAACGCGGCTGATAAACAACAAAGCCGCTGGAGCTGACAACCTGCCAGCTGAGTACGGCGGCGAGGAGTTGATAAGGTGCATGCATCAACTCTTGTGCAGAATATGATCAGATGAACGCATGCCTGACGACTGGAATTTAAGTGTGCTCTGCCCAATCCACAAGAAAGGTGACCCCGCCATTCGCGCCAACTACCGCGGGATCAGCCTCCTAAGCATAGGTTACAAGGTCTTATCGAGCGTATTGTGTGAAAGATTGAAGCCCAATGTCAGTGAACTGATTAGGCCTTATCAGTGTGGCTTTAGACCTGGCAAATCCACCATAGACCAGGTATTCACAATACGCCAAATCTTGGAAAAGACCCGCGAGAAAAGGATCGACACCACCACCTATTTGTCGACTTTAAAGCCGCTTTTGACAGCACTAAAAGGAGTTGCCTATACACCGCTCTGTCTGAATTTTTCATCCCCTCAAAACTCATAAGACCTCCCCGAGCCGTTCGCCACAAAACGGGGTTTCAGACAGGGCGACTCCCTTTCATGCGACTTCTTTAATCTGATTTTGGAGAAGATAATAAGAGCTGCAGAACTGAACCGCTCAGGAACAATTTACTAGAAGAGCGTGCAATTGCTGGCGTATGCCGATGACATCGACATCATCGGTAACAAAAACCGCGAAGTCTGTTCTGCCTTTTCCAAGTTGGATAGGGAAGCAAAGCGAATGGGTCTGGTGGTAAACGAGGACAAGACGAAGTATCTCCTGTCATCAAGCAAACAGTCAGCACATTCGCGTCTTGGCACCCACGTCACTGTTGACAGTTACAATTTCGAGAAAATAGAGAAGTTCGTTTACTTGGGAACCAGCATTAACACCGATAATAATGTCAGCATTGAAATCCAACGCAGAATCGCTCTTGCCAACAAGTGCTACTTTGGACTGGGTTGGCAATTCAGGAGTAAAGTCCTCTCTCGACGTACGAAAACCACGCTCTATAAGTCACTTATCATGCCTGTGCTGGTATATGGCGCAGAAGCATGGACAATGACAACATCCGATGGGGCGGCTCTTGGAGTGTTTGAGAGAAAGATTTTGCGGAAGATTTACGGGCCTTTACGCGTTGGCGACGGCGAGTACCGCAGACGATGGAACGATGAGCTGTATGAGCTTTACAACGATATGGACATAGTGTAGCGAATTAAAATACAGCGGCTCCGCTGGCTTGGTCATGTCGTTTGAATGGACACCGACGCTCCAGCTCTGAAAGTATTCAACTCGGAGCCCGCTGGTGGTAGCAGAGGAAGAGGGAGGCCCCCACTGCAATGGAAAGATGAGGTGGAGAACGACTTGGCTTCACTTGGCGTCTGTTGGCACAGAGGAGAAACGACTGGCGTGCTTTGCTGAACTCGGCCAAAATCGCTTAGGCGGTTACAGCGGCAAAAAAGGAGAAGAAGTAGAAGTAGAATAAGAATTACGTACTACTTAGTTGTATCACAGTTTTTCTGCTAATTATGTCTTCTTCATATGGTTTTAAATAGTTCGTTGTTTATTTCAAATTCAAATTTGACCTGTGACAAGTTGAGCATGAATACACAAATACACATTATAGACAACTAAACTAACTTTATTTCTAAAAAAAATCGGATTTTACAAATACATAAAATATTCTGCCACCTAAAGACGGGATAATCCTTGATCGCACTCTTCATCTCCACTGTCTGGCTGAGTCATTGTAAAGTACGTTATTTTTAAATAGTAGGTACTACACTTTTCATGAGGCTGTTACCTGTCAAAACGTATGAGATACTGTTTCTTACACTGACAATTGAAGTAATGATTTCTTTGCATCCCTGACAGCATAGCTTAGTTTTCCCATCGCTCGAGCAACATTTCTTTATGATTAGCATTATCATCGGTTATCACAAACAGATATATGATACATTTCATATTAGCAGATAAGTAAGGGTAGCAGTTACTGGCCGAATTTATTAAAATTTGTCAAACTTTGAATTGTGAC